AAAATAGTCCTTGTCCTAAGGCAACTTAAAAAAAATAATTACATCAAGATACAGCAGGTAAAACACAGATGAAGCATGATAAACAAAAGTAATAGCATCTCAAATTGTCTTTGTTTTTAAATAGTTTAGAACCATGTGTTACTTCATTTGAACACTGCAAGATTTATTTTGCTTGTGTAGAGTGTGTCCCATGCACTTACTCATCTGTCTTATCAGCTCTCCTTATCCTCCCTTTCCTCAGCATGCTTTTACCACTTGCACACTTTATCGTCACCGTGCTATATCTTGTCTTACCTGATCCTCAAGCTATACACACCAAACCAATGGTTTCTCACTCTCATCATCCATTTCCCTCACTCTGATTATCTGAACTCAGCCCCAAACAAAAATGCAAGCCACTACTAAAGCATCATCTATTTTAAAACTCTGCATCTTTTCGCTTCATTAAGATATACCACTGTGCTCACAACTCTCTAGAGCAGCCAGGTAATTTTGTTTAATGGAAATTTTCTCTTTTTCCAATATTCATTTTATTGTTCAGTAAATGAACCCACATCTTTAATTACGTTGCTAGCTCTTATGTCAATGACAAGGCTTATTCTGGAAAAAATACCTGTGTATTGAAAGAGCTAATACCTGCTCTCAAGAATAGCTTGCTCCACACAGGAGGTCTTCTCTCTGCAGGACAGCTCCAATGAATGTTGGCTCATCGCAGACAAGAACTTGAGAATCAGCTTAGTGCTCTCCGTCTTACCAGCACCACTTTCACCACTGAAAGAAGAGGAGGAAAGCGTTTGCACAGTTTCACCCGCCAGGCAAAAAGCCCTCTGCATGGCCGGTCCTCCAAACTCCAAATTACTGGAGGTCAGCAAGACTGAGGTGATTAGAAATGATACTCAACTAGCAGGAGAATACCCCTTTAAGCCTGCTGAATGTGACATTCAACACAAAATGCAAGCTAGCTTTAGACTTCATACGACTGTTCAGACAGCATTTCAAGGCATTGATTGTGTCAGGATGCGCGCAACACCCAGGAGGCAACAAAGAGCTCTCTGAATACAACCAACTATCCAACAATCCTCACCAACATGGAAAATCAAAGTTAGAGCAAAGGCATGGCAATGATCAAGGAGAAAGTCCAGATGATGAACTAAGCTGGGAAAGTTTGAGATTGTGTTGCAGCAATTTAGCTAAGGAGAGAGCCTTGCTGTGAGAAGGAGGAGGTTAGAGACAACAAAGCGTATTATAACACATAAAAGGCTACAAGTATATTCTTAGTGAGCTACACGTTCTTTAAACAAACTTTTTATATGCCCATCCAAATAAACCAGACTCACATGAATTCAAAATATACTATTTTCACCTCTCATCATCACCAAGATGTAAAACCTCTCATCTTCACCCACAGCATAACAAAGCTATTTGATAACGCAAAATTGGCATTTTAAAAACAGCTAATAAGTAATCTTGCTGATAAAAATAGAAAGTAATACACTCAATTTCTCTTCAAAACCGACACTGCTGCTCAGCTCAGGACTCTGTTACTTTATGTGGATCGAGTTGGCTCTGTATTTTTTTTCCTTTTACAAAAAAACCAGTTGTTATTAATGAGATGAAAACCAAGAACAAGCATGCTAAACTTTAAAGTTGTTTATTCAGCCCTACAGTACATACACCAACAGTAGGTTAAGTGGGATCAGTCTTTCAGACTCCTCAGAAAGCCTATGCTTACAGGAAGTTGCCAAGGTCAGTAAAAGAAGGGTGAATTTTTTAGTGCACAGCCAACCTTTCCAGCAACCTTTCCACCCCATGAGTTTAAGTGCCCAGCTTGTTCCACATCACTACATTCAGCATGCTGAATATATCAAGTGTGACAGCAACCCAGGAGGCCCCCACTTAGGAGATCCTTAAGCTTTCTCCATGACTTGTTCTATGCAGGGCATCTCGCTCAGGGCACAGCAGCCTGGACTCCAGACTGCCACAGTGGAAAAAGGGGTCACCGAAAGAGACTCCTCATTCTGAAGGACACACTGCCGCAGCTGAGGTGGCATCAACACTGCTCTAAATCACTTCTCAGTCCCGTCTGCTGGCTTTAAAACCCCACAGACAGACATACACAGACAAAACAGGCCTCTTCAGCAAACACAGCTCTTCAAACGCACATGTGAATTTTGGTGTGTCAGTCTCGTAACAACGTCTTCCCATCACAAGTCTGGGTCTCATCCAAAGAGTACTTTGATTCGCTTTGATTTTCAAGCTACATAACAACAAAAATGTCAGGCCATTGGATGATAACAGAGAGAACAAACTGGTGTCAGACTGTGAATTCCCACTCCCGGCACTGACTTGAATGTAATTCAGGGTGACTGTTGCTGCTCCTTCTACTGCTCTACACCTCTTCTTGAGTACTTTAAAGTGGATCAACTGCCAACTGAGAGAAGAGCATGTGTTTGCCTCTGCACAGACTAGACCACCTGAAACAGAGCAGCAAGAAAAAAACCCTCTAAAGCTATTTTCCTATTCTTACAATAAAGGGATGGAGGTTTGAACTTCATCACAATGTGCAAACAGCAGCTAATCATGGGGGAACTCAGCGCCTTCCTTACAGCAAGACAGTATGTTTGGCTATTCCTTGAGTAAGGTGGATTCCTTTCATGCTCCTGTCAAGGCACCCAGCTGAAAAATCACAGGATGCTAATTTTTTTCTTTAACGTGTCTGTTGTAGCATCAAACCTAATTGCAGTGGGCTTTTTTTTTTTTTTCCTATTTTAAGTGAAAGTGATCCTGCAGTAAGGTTCAGATCATCAGGAAACTGAGCATTTGTTGATGCAGATGTTTTTGTCTACATGAAAACTCTATTTCAATAGCCAGATAAAGGATTTTAGCTTGAGAGAATGAAAATACCGTTTCACAACTGTGTAAATATTCTAATGCACAGGTTACGCACAGCTTTTTCAGTGTGCCATTTTGTTGACGTTTTAGGCTGCTAAGACATTTTTATGCAGCATTATCATGAGTTAAAATAAGCCTGTGCAACACAGAGTAATAAATAAGCATCTTTGGATGACTCCATTTAATATTATCTCTTCTGTATTTCCTTCCTTTCACCTCTGGTTTGGGTGGTTATACTGGAAAAATGGTCTCACGTTTGTATCACGTTTTGAGTCACTACTAATGACATTTTTTTAATTCAGTTTCTCTCATCTTTCCCCATCCAGACAAATATCTCAAGCATTTCAAGACAGCAGAGGCTTTTCCACAGGTTTTTCAACCCAATGCCTTAAGAAAGCAGCTCCAAACCAAAGCTGAGCTAATTCTGGATGCCAGCAGCAGAGGGCACTTCGAGTCCAGAGGATCACAAGAAAGCCTTCCCTACCTTACTTCGTGGGGCTGTTACAACTTGCTACTGAGTTTTTAGATCCCCTAACTAAGAGCAGGTGAAAAGTGCGTATTAGAATGTGAAGCCTACATGTGAGGACAATTCACTCACTTTAACTGATGCAACTTTATTGTGGTTTTGTGATAGAACAAAATCTTCCTTTATATCATCTCTTACATTAAATATAAGACTAAAATATTTGGCTGAATTTAGACATTACAGAGCTCCACTTAACCATTTTTTTCAAATGCCAGAAGTAACCAAGAAAGCCTGACAGTGAGCTGTGGCAATATCTAGTTCTAAGCCAGTAAAAGATGCAGGAATGACCAGGATGCTGAAGATGATGAGCACACTGCTATACCTCCACTTCTGATGCCCCAAACTAAGTATATAATCAAGGCGACTTCTCTAAATCTTATCAGGACCATTGAAAACTTTCAGTAATTTAAAAAAAAAACCTGCTCTGAGTCCTTCACAGGCAATACCATTTTAGGGAAGCAGGTTTTCCTCTTTATTTTTTTTTTTTTGTTTTGACTTGCACATTCCTTTAATTTCTGTAGCAACAAGATACCCTTATAAGGTTTTACTACAGCACTTGTCTGAAACACTGAACTTACACAAATCATTGTTTTTACCCATGACCACAGTAAGTGATTTTAAAAGGGACTGCTAATGAAAACTTCTCCATATTATGGCTTATCTGTATGAAGGCACATGGTTTACAGAGCGGGGACTGCTGAGGACTCCTTTGGAACATCAGAGACTTCTCCTTATGTCCTTTTTAGGACACAACCTGCTTCTCTCTTGGCAGCTTGTGTGAAACAGGGAGGAAAGGTAAAATACTTGGGCCAGTACAGAACGGCATTAACACAAATACCAACAACTACCTGCTGGGCACCAGAAATTATTTTGGTCTCCAAAATTTGGGCATGTGGGCTGTTCACAAGTAATTACCTGACATTACACCATAAAATCATGACTCCAGACTAGCTATTTTCCCATGACAAAGATCCCTGTGCGTTTTGTTTTTCCCTTGGAGTGTCACCTGGACTCAGCTTTATATGTACAGCACTATGTATTAAATAAAGAGGAAAACTACAGTTGAAAAAAGCTGAAAAAAACACAGGCGGTCCCCTTAGTCTTTGTGCCACTGTCAGGTGCAAAGCCTAGAGGCGAGGGCAGGCGGGGACTGTGACCTGAGGGCTTGAAGAAAGTTGGAATCAGACCTAGCTGTGCTGCATCTGATCCACGTGTCTAAAACCAGCTTGAGCGCTGAACCACACACGACGAATCCTCCTCTCATCTAGGAAGCCTTGCAAACTGGCCTGTAATCTTAAATGCCAGTAGAAATTGTCGATGGCAAAAGGCGCTGCTCTCACTCTGCCTCATCCCCTCGCTGCCCCATGCTGCGCTCCCAGGGCTGACGCGAGGGTTCCCAAGAAGGTCAGGGGACAACCAAAATTGTGTCACCTTGTGTCTGAAGAGCTCTCCACGCTTAACTTGTGCTGGTGGGCGGCAGGAAGGGGAGAGCAAATAGGCTTAATGGCAGAAACACTGCAAAAGTGAGAAAGGAGAGGGAGGGGAAACACAAGCTCTCTCACTCCCCCATGCCAAGCATCACCCCCGGATCAGAGCTCAACAGCTGGTGCCACGCTGCCATCGCCACTGAGCTGCTCCTCCCGATCCGGCGGGGAAGGCTTCGGTTTTCCCTGCCTGCATGTGAGCCAATGCAGCTGAGCTGGTAGGTGGGGAAAGGGAAAAGAGCTGGCTGTGTTTTCAGCTTTTCTGGAGCAAGCAGGCAGGAGGAGCTGAAAGCAGCGAAAAACAGTCGGAATGCCAACTGCTGGCAACATACATTCGGCAGCAGAGATCCTGAATACCAGCGACACAGTGGAGTAAATGGGAAGCTACTAAACCACCATTAAAGCACAATGAGATTAATTAAGGAAGATTAATCAGGCAGTTAAATGGCTGAAATGAGACGGGGTTTCTCTTTTGCTATTGTTATTTACCGCATTTCTCAAGACCGGTGGGTTATTTTTTCTTTTCCTCTAGATACAGGGTTCAGGGTCTAGCGGTGACAAACTGCTGAGCTGCACAGCGATATTTAAACTGGCGGGGAAAGCACTTAGGGTAGAATCAGATGTGTGAGCCGCAAAAAATGCACAAAAATACAATAGATTTTTTCACTAAATGAAATCGTAAGATGCCTAAGAAAAATTAATATTTTGTTAAAGGTCTACACAACGATACAGAATGAGTTCAGAACTCTCTTCCGAAACTTTGGTGATTTAAAAACCTGCTTTCTCTCCAAGTTCTCCTCTCCACGTGGCCCAAACCCATGCTCCTAAATCACCTCGAAAGGCTTACCAGCAGGGGTAATCAAAGCAGGAGCAGCCGTTTACCTGATGAGGATACACTGGTTGTCGTGGCGCTTCCAAAGGCAGCGGTAGCACTCGTTGGCCACAGCGAAGATATGAGGTGCGATCTCTCCCATGTGGTGCCTGCTGTATCGCTCCATGGCGGCGCAGTCGTACAGTCCCGGGATGCTCTTGTAAGGGTTCACAGAGGCAACTATGGAACCAATGTAGGTCTGCAAGCATACAGCCCCCCCACGTTGTTATTACCCGAGGTGGAACACATTAACACTCTTCCCAATGAAAGACAACAAATACACGTTTGCAAAAGCCTAGCAATGCTTTGGATAAAGGTGGCTATTGTTTTTCCCTGCTTTCTTCCTTTCAACAAAAGCAACAGAAGGGCAAAAGTTACTTCCACTTCCATCATGCTTCCATGCCTACTCCAGCTACAGCACAGAGCTTCTTGGCTGCACAAATCCCTGCCTTAACACTGCTGTGCAGCTGTAAGTGGTGTCCATGAGCACTGGTCTACAGCTGCTTCTCATGCGTTCTTAGGGACTCGGTGAACTTACTAAAAACCTGACTGTGTCCCAAGTATTGGTGCAAACGTCCGTATTTCCATGTAGAGTATCCAAGTCCTTCTCTGCTACTAATTTTTAAAACAGAAGTGTAAGACATTAAGGTAGACACTAGCACCATTGTACAGCAGGAGGCCCCAAGAAAAGCACATGACCTGGCAGACGCTCCCAAAACATTGGGTTTCTGCAACTTAATTTATAACTAGTTTGATGCACAACAGCAGCTGTCAAGGCATTAATTTCTATCCCATTGCAATTAGAGAGCACATCAGCTGAAACCACCCAGGTAGCAGCTTATGCCCGTTCCCATTGCCTTAACTCATTAGGCTGTGGTAACGTGATCTTTTGCAACAGTCTATTCGCAATGCTGTTCATTTTCTCAGTCACTCTCTATCCACTTCAATATATTTCTCACATAAAAATCGAATTAAATAAGGTAGGAGATAACATTAAGCAAGTTATCTCCGGAATTTCCAGTACATTTCTAGGGCATGTGAAATTAATTGATATATCACACGGTGCGTGCGGTGTTGCCGCTGCGATAGTAATTTCATTTTGTTAAGCGCCGTTTCTGCGGTTACAGGCAGGAAGCCGACACTGGGCTTCAACAGCCCTGCTGTGGACTTGCAAAGAGCCAGGCTGAGAAGCCTCCAGCCCTCTAACACGGTCCCCGTGTACAGACAGATGCTTCATCAGCAGCCAACCCTCTCGTTGCTGACAGGAACCGGCTGTGAAGTTGACAGCAGGACTGGGGCTCTCTTCACCTCCGTAACACCCTCCCCAGAAAGGGCTGGATAAGGCCGGCAGCATCTTGCATGCCACGGAAACGTAGTCCCACGGGCTCATCCTGCAGCTGCCCTCCGCTCCGGCAAGGCACCGCGGGGACACTCACTGAGATCCAGGGACCATCAGCTCCCTCATATTTTCCTTTCTTCTCTGTCAGTCTCTTCCACAGCACTTATGTTCCACATCTACCTGCCTCCCTCTTCTTCTCCTTAATTAACACGTAATTATTGCTGTGTACCAGCTCTCCTTTCTCACCGTTACCCTGCTGTCACGTTCCCCATTATCCACCTGTTCGCCCTCCATCAGGCCCAACACAAGTAGCAGCTTTGAGCTTTTTGCTAAGGGGACTACAGCAGTGTCCTTGAAATTATGGCTATTTTATTAGCTGCGAGGGAAATATTCCTCCTCGCTGTAACTCAAGTACCTTTTACAGAGCTGTGAACTTTCAATCTGTGTGTTTTATAAAAACCCCCATGCAGTGCAATAGCTCAGAAGGTTTCATTTAGAGGAAAGATACCATTTCAACACAAGATCTTATCGTAGAGCAAGTACAGCACTGAGATAACAGCTTAATTTCCAGGGATCATCCCCTCTTGGGTTCTTAAATAAATAATGAGGAAGTAGCTGAGAACAAAATTCCTCAGTTTGATACATATTTCAGCACAGATTGCATGGCCAAAATTTTAGGAGGTTTTGTTTTATTTTTTAATTTCATGAATACAGTGTAAGCATGATCAATAAAACTGACTGCTACAGATCTTCCTCTTTACATTATTAAAGCCTGACTGAAGTCTTACTAAAATGTAAGAAGAGTAACTTGAGACACGCCATCACAACAGATGCCATGACAAAGCAGCAAATCAACCCCCACGGAACATGATACCATCTAACCTGATAACCATAAGCATCCACTCTATAGCTTCTGTGTGACCCAGTACCTGACAGAACATCACCACCATGCTCCCTGATCCTCCTGTGATAAAGCACTGGCAAAACTGCACCACTGCTGGCTACAGGGTGACTTTTCTTGCTTCTCCTATTTCAAGTGGTAAATATCCTAAGACGCGACAGCAGCCCACTTCTGCAGGTGTCTTGCTTAACATGAGGCAGTCTCTCATATGGCTTAAGCATAACTTTCAAAAAATTATATAAACACTTCCAGAATATTAGTCATTAATGTGAGTAAGAAAATTTTTCAATTAAATAAAGCCAGCTGGCTTCATTGCCTCATAATTCACGCAAGGTATCATATAGAAAAAGGTAGTGTATTACAGCAATGACAGAAACCTGGTGAACAGCACAAACGATATTGGTGAAAACAATTCCCAAATCGCCTCATGGAGTAATGCTTCAGACATGTCAGTGTTTTAACAATTCCTTCTCTCTCCTTTTTTCTTTCAAGCAAAAACGTGAAGAACCACAACCTCTATCGAACTAGATCTGATTTTGTGGATCCAGTCTTCTGATGCTTTGAGTACATATTACCTCTGCAGAACAAGTTAAATGGATGCCCAAATTGCCACCAAATTATAATGATACAAGACAGAACAAAAAACAACTTCCTCACCCCTAGGCAAGATCACAGAAAAGCTATATTTTTCACAGACATATTGTATCAGATTTATCAAGTGTCATATTTCAACCCAGTAGCAGCCACAACTAGACAGCTGCACGGACTAACTAGGAGTTAGCTGGCCCAAGTGAAAGTTCCACCTTAACCCAAGATAGTTCAGCAAGGTATCGAAGAGCTGAAGCAGCACAGTTATTAAAAACTATTCCCACTATTAAAAAAGTTCCTATTAAAAGACAAATCTTCCCAAAGTCTTTGTAAATTTCCCCTGGGATACTCAACAGTAGAAAGATCTGCTGCAAGAATCATTTCCAACATCACTTCCAGGCTTACTCCTTTTCCTATCCAGTAACTAACACATGCTCTCACTAGAAGTAGTACTTTATAGATCCTACTCCTGCTAGCCTCTACCCTGGCACCTCCAAGAGCCATGAAGTCAAGGACTTGAGGCACTGCATGACTTGCATCCACATGCAGAAGAACACCACTTCACCACCTCCCTGTTTGCAGGGCGCTGTTCTCCCTCCCCTTGGGGACTCTCAGCAGCCGCCCAATGTGACCCCTTGCCTGGAGGGCAGACTTTCTGGTTTTGCAAGTGCAAGCACCTCAGCAGCAAGTTGAAAAACTGTCAAGGTACACAAAAAAATGCAGGGCTGCTCAGTGGATGGGTATTGTCTCCTGAATGCTATTTCAGCACCAGGCATCACCATATGGCAGATTAAATCAGTTAACAGTCAGAAGCAGGATCTCTAAATGACTTTATTACGACAACATCACAAGGCAGTCGTTCGGATGAAATTTCAGAAAAGGAATTTTCACATAAGAATGTCACTTCCATTTTGCTTAAAAGAGAGTCAATTAAATTTTCCTTTTGTTCTTTGCAGTTTCTAATTTGATTCTCGCAGTCAAGAATTACTTATTTTAATCAAAGTGCTCCAGAGCAGTTATGAATAGGAAAAATGCTCATACATCTGCCAGAGTACTAGCAAGGGGACAAGATTTCTGAAGATTTCCAGTTAAAATAGTTTGAGGGTATTTTGGAGAACTACTGTGTAGAGCTCCTATCACAAGGCTGACTTCTTAAATCTGTGGCAATGCACAGGACGGTTTACTTCTCTCTGTTATATGACCAACTCAACACTTCAGACAGAACCACACACAAACTCTTGAATTAACTTTGTTACAGACTAAACCAGCATCAACTTGTTAGCAGATCACTGCCAATATATTTATTTAAACTCAAAAATAAATGAAAGTGGAGTTATTCAGCCTGAATCCCAGTGCAGCACTTTGATTACCATATTAAAAGGCTCGGCTCTTTTTCCACTTTCAAATTTTTACTGCAATTTTAACATCGGTAATGCATCTCTCAAAACACTTTCAATCACAAAGCACAGACACTCCTGCTCCTCCTTTTAGCACAAAAAGAGGAAATAAGATTGCTTGCTGATCCTCTAAAAGGACTTTCAAAATCAGAAGTTCAAGCCCTGTCTTCTCAGCTAGACATTCAGTAAGGCGATGGCATCGCAAGAGTCAAAGTGCAAGATGTACTTGAGAAAGGAAGAGATTTTTCATCACTTCTCCAAATGCTTTTTTGTTTTGCTTGTTGCCATCTGATAGCAATCAGCTTTGAACCTGTGCCTTGAAATCACCCCAGACTTCTTCAAACACTCAAAACCAATTAGTTCTTTAACAAAGTTCAAGAGCTCACAAAGATTCCTAATACCCACAGAAATATTCTAGAAAAGCTTGTAATGGTCAGAGTAGTTCTAATATGAGAGGGTTTTTATATTATTATTTTTTAAGGAAGATACAATCAGTTTACTTTAGTTTGATTCTAAACAAATGTCAATGATGTTCAAAGCTTCACTGGTTAAAATACAATTTTTCAAGTTAGCTTAAAATTACAAGAAACAAGTTTGCAATAGATGAATTAAATACAGTTTGAAATGTCTTTCTTTACCATGTAGAAAAGGCTTTTGGACTAAAAGAGAAAAAAAATGGAGTAAGACATTTCCCCTTCAAAATTTTTGTCAGGTTCCCTAAACGGAAAAAGCAACAAAAAAGGAAACTGCCCTAATGAAAGATCACTTCATTAATTCTATAACCCAAACATACTAAATACATCAGGACCACCTTGGTCTCCATCTTTTCCCTTTCACAGAGGCTTTTTTGGGTATATCCTTTCAGGTTTGCTCCATATCCAGCAACCATCCACCTTTCACTTCTTCCCTTTTACGTCAAGACTTCAGCATCTCCGCAGTAACTGTTCTATTTCTGCGTTTTACCCAAGCTTACT